GCAATAACAAGAGGTGATCCGCTAGCGGAGCAGATCACCAATAAACACACAAAGATGGCGTTTATCATATTTATTATAAATAAATTATTAGTTGTTACTCTGAATTGTGTCTGCATTTTTAATTATTAAGTATTTAAAGCATTCTATAAATGTAATCTTTTTTGATACAAGAAGTGTGCCTCCTGCAGAAGTAAAATTGTGAATGAAACCTAAATTTAATAAAATTTTAATTCATTTTTTTTGGCTATAGAGAAGAGTTTTCATTTAATGTTTTTCTTGTTGCATATAAACATTTGAAAATAGTAGAATTATTCATACTGTACATGTCTAAGAGGCTTGGGTCTACAATTGGGTTTTTACTGTTTTTAGAATCTATTTCAAATTAGGTTTCTCTACATGCCGTGGCACTCAAGACATTGATATATGAGGTTATGATATGATATTTGAGATATAAATTTCATATATGCATGACATGCATGATAAAATATATATTATAATAATATACTATAATAATATTATAACATTATATAAATAAAATAAAATGCCATACAATAAGGTAAAACAAATATATAGTTTCTTTTTTAAAATTTATATAAAAAATAAGAAAGGAAGAGCCCTCATTTTCTAGCTATATTATCATATATTTAAATATATTCAAATTGCAATATATATTGTACTGTTAGAAAGTATGCGTAGTGTAGATAATATACATTATGCAGAGGAAGAAAGAGAATGCAATAATATCAAATAATTTATTAAAAATCAATGGATGACATTCTGGTTTGAGCATGAGGGAGTTGAGTATTGGAAACATTATGATAGTTAATATGCAGAACCATTAGCTGGAATTGCAATGGCTGATATAATATTACTAGTTTTGATATCTACAATGATAAACCTGCTATTATTGCAAATCATCAATGATATTTTGCCTCATAGAAGCTATTATTAAATATGTTGAATATTTATTTATTTCAGACATTGTAAAATGTTGCTCAACTTTAGAGAGCTTTATTTAGTCATGTCAATCTCTTGACCTTAATCGATCCAGTGATTATGGGTGCTTGTATGTTAAAAATTCATATTTATAACATAAATAACAATTTTTTATTTTACTTTTTTTTAAATTAATTTTTTTTAATTTGTTCAATGTTTTTTTTCGTTTTTTTTTTTAACTTTGCAATTTAGTTGTTTCTGCTGGTAGCTTACATCTTCAACAGGTGCATGTATACTATGTATTGGTTGATGGATTTTTACATTTTTATATCTTTTCTCATGTTTAAATCGACATTGTATCAAATAGTTTTCGAATTCTATTTCATCCTTAATGGGTTTCGTTTTAGTTTGTGATCTTGCGTTCAATAAAAATCCTTTTTAAATGAGTGTTGAGTTTTACAGCGATCATTCTGGAGTTTTTAAATCAAAGTGAAAAGATGTGCGGCATAGTTCAATATACTGGAAACCAATTAACTTTACAGTTGAAATTTTAGAATTAGATTGCTAGAATGATAAATGGTGTCATGAAAATGTACAATGTTTACAATTTCCTAGAACACTAAAATTTATTGAGGCATTGCAATTCTTGCTTCACTTACTGTCTAATTATTAGAAGGGGATAATGGATTATTTCAGATAGCAGTTGTGGATACAAACTCAGTGATGTTAGGGGAATGTGGGTGTGGGGTCGTGAACCTCTCAGAAAATTTTGAGCCCCAAATGAACAAAAATGCTATCCATACATGCTATCCATATGAGCGAGTCGAATGGCCGAGCAGTTAAGGCAGGGGCACCATAACCATAGCCAACAATAATGGCACAGGTTCGCGGCCGCCTCGCTCCTAGTTCCAGTGGTGGAACAAGTCTTCTCTGATAAGGACTATAAACTGTAGGCTCAGTGTACACAAATGCTCATGTGCACTTTAAAGAACCCAGTACATCTTTCGAGAGGAGTTGGGATTACCCCGGTGGACTGGTCCACTCAGCTTCTGTCGTGGACTGATGAAAGTGCGCCGGTTTACCGGCTGCAGAGGTCATGAAGCGACCCTCATAGGAGGAGAAAGTTATGCAACATCTAGTCCACTGCGGCAAAAGCAATGATTGTTGGAATGGCGCAATGTAAATGGAACGATTTGATTTTGATTTGATATAAATGGCTAAAATCACCTTAAACCTCATTCTCCCAGCTAGTTTCCCTCACTTTCTAATACTCCCTCTGTCATCAGCATGCCCTCCCTATGTTATTAAGGAACTTGATGTAATAATCATGCAATAAAATAGTAAAGAAATCGCACTTTTTGGCATTTTATGGCGACTTGTCACTTGCACTAAATGAAAGCAAACTATATAAATTCACTGCAGAAATGTGTTTTGCCTATCCATCAAATGGTGATTATAGTTTGCACATGTTTGTCCCTAGAGTGATGCTATAAATTTCTCACCTTGCAAAATTAAAAATAGTGAGGACATTTACTATGTTGTTTTTTTAAACTGCTTCACCTTCCCTTTTCCTTCCTCTTCAAACTGGAATGAATTTTCTGGTTTTTTTTAATTTTTTTAAAATTTTTTATGAATATACTCCACAGGGAACAGAATTGATTGCACAAGTATATGAATATTTATGGGTGAAATTAGTGCAATATTGATATGAACTTACCTTTGCATCTTTAGACTAACAATTGATGGTAAAAAATGATTAAATACAGAATTTGATTACATGGAGCAATTCTAGGAGAATGGTTGGTAAACTAAAACGATTGGTCAGTACATTTTTAAAACTTCATTTTTAAAACTTCATTTTTAAAACTTTAAAACTTTGTCTTATGCAAATCTTTTTGCAAGATTTAACAAATTCCTAACATTTCTCTACAGTAGATTTAAATTGTTAAACTGCTTTAAATCATTTTAGAAATGTTTTGTACGATCTTGCATCCACAAGAATATTGGGCGCTAATGAAATTCAATTTTATAATACGCCACATTTCGGACATTGGTCTATGGTAAATGATTTGCATGCTGTACTTATTTATAGAATAGAGATTAGAGAAGTTTCTACTCAAACTTATTTATATATCAGATATATACAGAAATGTTTGGATGTCATCTTAGGTAATTTTAACCCAGACAGCTAGGTTCAGTTCAATATGTTTCTAACTTTGGGAAGAAATATTATTTTTGAGGGGTGTTACTTCTAAATGATAATGGCATAAGTTGATATCTCTTTTATTGACATTCTTTTTATGTAAATTCTGTACATTTATTCTCAATTCACTATAAATCTTGACACCAAAGTTATTGTATAGATTTGGGATAGAAGCATTTGATTTATTTATTAATTAATTGTTTACATATTATGAAAAGTATTGACGAGAAAATATGTCTTTAATGGTAATGGTAGGTATTGTCACCAAACTGTAAAATTGGGTTCAAATCCTGATGAACATACTATATTATTCTCAAAAATGTTTAAGCAGATGCAATAACTTTCAGTACCCATGACATGCATTTCAGTGGATTGTTCAGATATCCAAATCCTTACCTTTTTTTATATGTTCTTTTTAGCAAAAAATATTAATTTTTGGTGTAGTAATCCCTTATTGGTTTACCAGCTAATTGTACCTGGTCTACAAATGCAAGTAGAAGAACATAATCTATGAAAGTTACCTTTCTAGCTCCAAAATTTAAAAGAAATAATTTATTTAAATATACAAATATTAAACAATAAATAATAAATTTTAATGTTAAAACTTACAAGTTGTTTGATGGATATTATACCCTTAAATTCTTAAACTACAATTTTTACAACACATTTTAAATCTAAGATTATTTCTGTTTGTTAGTACAAAAATGAGACACATTTTTGAGTTCCATAAATAGTAAATATTCATTTTCCTTTAAGCCAAGGGGATTTTTTGATCTAGTCAGATTAGGAATTAAATTTATTTGTTCAATTTGATTGATTCTTTCCTAGGCTTCTTATTGTAAATGAACTTGAGGATGAAGAGACAATGAAGTCCTGTTTTCTTGGCCAATTGCAAAGCTTAACCCAGAAACTTGAGGCTCTTCCAAAAGAGAGTGTAAGTACTTAGAAAATTTATAAGATTCTATTATTAATAGTCGATGATTCATCAAATAACTGGATATTTCATGATTTGAATACAATATTAATAGGTATTTTAGGTATTTCCTCTGAGATGCTTAATATAATAACCTCATGTCAAGGAGGTATATAATACCTGCTTGCTGATATCTGTTTCGCTTGAGTGCTTCAAGAACTAGTGCTGTTCCGTAACATTCATATATTTTTTCTGTAATTTTATTTTATTTGAGAAATCTAATTTCAGTCCTTATTATTAATGATTTTTCTTCATTTACATTCTTATTGTTCCGAAATTGGAGAATTTTTTATGCGATAAAATTGTCAGTTTTTAGAAGTTTATTTGTAACACAAACCTGTCAAATGCAAGTTACAACATTTTGCTGACCATGTAACTAGATCTATAGCCAGCAAATGTCAACAACTGATATAGAATGTGCATAATTATGTATGAACACATGACAATAATGGCCGATCTTTCACCAGACGCATTTTATTTCGCTACATATTTGACAAAGCATAACCAATTTATTTTGCATCATCCAAATATCTGATTTGAGGAATTTATTCTACAGCAATATTTCACCAGGGGCTTGGTAATTTGCTGGAGAAGAATTTCATTTCAAATTATTTATTTTTATTTTTTCAATCTTTCACTGATTTGACCAAGAAAAAGAAATATAAAATATTCTTTATTGTCATGAAAACAGACAAAAAAATGGAAATTAATTTAGTTTTCAATTAATAATACCAAAATAAACATTTTGTATTAATAATTAAATGAACATTAATTATCAAGATTGTATTTCAATACTTTTTAGAATATTAATTTGTTTATTAACATTTAATTAATAATTTTAAAAAGAAAAATATATGAATAAATTATAATCATTCATAATAATATGAAAAAATTACTCCTCAGGAAATGGAGGAAGTTGGATTGGATTGGATATTTTCGGTGTAAACACCAAAACACACACAAAAAAAGTCCAAGGTGGGGAGGTCCTTCGGGTGTGATTAAGCAGTAAACTGGGAGACGATCCCCTCCCCTACACTTTACACTTTTTCAAGGAGTGCCTTCTTTAACGTGCACCTGGGCAATATTGCACACAGGACCAATGGTTAAATCCCCATTCCCGGCAAAATTCCACTAAAAAAAGATTTTTTTTAGAAAAAATGCATATGCATTACTCTAATTATTATAAACCATGGAAAAATATTGGCATAAATTTTAGTTTTATGTAAAAGAATAAAAAATGAGAAATACAGACTATTTCTCATAGGAGATTACCATTTTCTCGACGAATTCTTCGTTACTATGCAAATTCAGAGGTAGATCGCATCCGTCGGAATGCTCTCACTTTTATGTATGCTTTATACAGTCAATAATTGCGCCCTTTCTAATGAGATAAGTTTTTGTACTTCGCATCTTGCACACTGCAGTCGATCGATTAGGCCTGAGATATGTTTGTTTATTGTCACAATCTAGGTCAGAATCATTTTTTTTAACAGATTTGAAATAATTCCTATGAAATATTATATTTCACAAGTGTCAATACTAGCAACAAAAAATATAGTGTCGGCCGTATTTATGTGTGATAACAGAACCTAAATCGAGGTAAGGCTAGGCCTAGCCTAGAAGTGTTGGATAGGCTAATGTTTCCAGCGCCTACTATATTCCTTCGCAGACCTATCGCAAAATCAAATGTAAAAAAATTCCTCCGCATTTATTCTTTGTGTGGAACACAAAAAATCTAATTTCAATCTTATTTTACATTTTTTCCATGTTTAGGAATGTTTAGCAATTTCGTGTTCTATTTATAAAATATTTAAAGATCAGATCAACTGAAATTTTGCCGGGAATGGGGCTTTAAAATAGCTCATGAGAAAGTCGGTGCACAGTAACTTGCATTTTAGTCCTCCATCTAAAACACAAGGAGAACAGTGATGGGAATTGAACAAGGACCAAGAGATCACCACAGTTCAGTGCATGCACAGTGCTACCACCAGTTTAGCCAACTGAGCTAAGCTGCTCTAGGTTGCGTGCTATGTATGTTTGACAACATGAATTGGATGACCTCAGGTTAAAACAACAAATGCCTTGATACATGGTCTTTGGATTGTTAAAAACACTATATAAATAGTACAGAACATTATAAAATTATTCAGAGATAATTTTAGATTACAGTTCATAGATACAAATTACAGAGTTCATTTACTGGGTTTATATCTCTGATGAAATACTGTTAACACATGCAGTCTATTTGTCAATATTCTAGACACGGATTTTACTCAATTTGATCACTGGTAGATCCTAAATTGACTATGTCAATAATATTTATAGTGTCTAGTATTACTATGATGTGTGGATGCTCGTAATTTAGAACCTGAGAATTAAATTTAATGATTTATAATATTGTGAAAGGCCAGATTGCAAACATTTTTACATGAAAACAACATTTTACTGTACATCAAATATGAACACAAAATTTACAGGGGAAAGTATAGGCAAGTTCCAGTATAATTATATAATTCATTAACCTGAATTTACATTAATCATCATTGCACGTTAAATTAACAGATATATAAAATTCATTGCCTGGAATTAATCAAATTTTACATTAAAAGCATGTTAATGCATATATTATAATTTTAACATAATAATACAAATACCAGCACAGTTACTGGTGTGCATAGTCACATTAGTAGAGGGGATTATAAGTATTTTGGAAATAAGCGAAGAGCCCTGGTGATTATTCATTTGTGGTGATGCAGACATTGTTGTATATTACTGTACATATCTAAAAGTCAAATATTGTATGAGTGTGACTTGATAAAACTTTTGTATACACATTATCAGAACACTTATCTTCTCATTATTTGCTTAGTTTTGTTGCTTCTCAACCTTCATGTACCCCCAACAATAACCAGACTCATTTTCTGTCTAGTTTTCCATGCAGAGTAACATGGCCAGAAGGCAGATGGAGTATGATGTAGGCCGAGTAAGGGACACAATGCGACAGAGGCTGGGGACGTACAAAGAAATAGCTGCCCGTTATGAAGCAAGGATTCAGAGGCTTAGGAAAATTGACAAAGAGATTGTGCAACTACAAACACGGCAGGACCAGCTGGAGAGAATCCTACAGGTTGGAAGTCATTTTTTTTATGCTTATAATAACTATATTATTAAGGCTACTTTGGGAATAAAGAATTATTATTACAAGTTCAGAAGTTAACTATATTTAAATGATTGTTTTATTGATCCTAATAGAATTGCTATCCTAATCAATTGCTATTCATCAATTGCTATTTCTCTTGTATACTTATATAATTATAACCTTTAAATATTTTGCACCTTTTTAGGACGATCTTCAAGAATCAAAACGTGACTCTGGAAGCTGTGATCATTATGACCCAAATGCTAATACTGAAAGCCGGGAAAGTGGTGTCTCTGGTGCAAATGATGGCAATAACAATGATGATGCTAATGTTGGAGGTGGTAACAATGGTTTCAATAGCTCGCGATATCCATGCGATAGTGGTATTCTACCAGATGTCGACAACAAAGGCTCATCACAAGAGAATGTAACAACTAAGTCACGTATGGTCACTACCTCCACGCAGACAACCGAAGATTTCATGGATCCGTATATGCACCTTACTGGAGACAATGCCTACCCTCGTCCAGGCCAACATAGCATGGGCGTGCCATTGAATGCTGAGATGTACCATGGGTCGTGGTCATTCATGCCTGGTGGGTTAGCCCAGCAGCACCGCCATCCAGTTAAATCAAACCTTGATCAGGATACATCTAGCGTAATGAGTTTCAACAGCTCAGCGGGCTCTGGCTCAACACCTAATCATATGATGGGCAGTAAGGTATGTAGATTGACATTTGACAGGTATTCAGCTTTTTATATATAATTATATATTAATGATTAGCAGTAAAACTATATTAGGCCAAGACATTTCTTATTTTGCCCAAGAAATCAGGGTAAGTCAGTTCGGATTTGAAGTTAAATTAGTCCTAAGCTTAATTCTAAGATCCATTGTCAACAATTACTTATCCGATGATTTGGTTGGAAAAATGGTAGCCATAGCATACACTTATTTTTACTTGAAAAAGGAAAGCTGAAATATTTGTAGGTTTTTGGTCAGTCAGGCTAAGGCAACACAATTTATTTTCACCTCTGTCGTTTCTTCATAGGGTTGTTTAAGGCATTATGTAATCTTTATAATTATCAATTAATAAAGGTTGTCTTTCTATTTAGGTTTATTCATGATGATATGTAGGCTGCTCTTTTTCAATTCATCAATTCCCAAATCATTACCATAGAATATGTAGTTGTATGACATCATTCTTTAATTATATAAGCCTAATGAATTTATGCCAATGTATCCTTCAATTTAATAATCAGGTGGAGATGATGTATTCTCTGCTGTCGATGCTTGGAACACATGATAAGGATGACATGTCACGTACGTTGCTAGCGATGTCAAGCTCCCAGGATAGCTGCATAGCCCTAAGACAATCAGGTAAGTTTTCCCTTAGGATTTTTGGGAATGATCGATGCCCACCCCATACCTAATCCTTAATTGCTAAACACATCGATCATAGCGTTAACAGCTGCATTGGTGTATGTATATTGAACAAAAAATGAAGCATTAAAGTATATTGATTATTTAATGTAAATAGATTTGAGAGAGAATAGTTCCACTGGAGTGCTACCAGATGTTGTGAATGACGTTCATACTTTTAGTGAGCATTCAAAAGAGATTTTGGGATTTCGTTAATGTGAGCCCGCAATTAATCCTGGCAGTCATATTTTAAATTGTTAAGATCATAAGCTCTAAATTGTATTGCTACCTGTTGTTTAAACACCCACCCACTCAGTGACAGATCCAATGGGAGGGAGGGGGATGGAGAATTTTACTTTCATCATTTTAACTGTCAACATTGACAATTTTATTGGCAAAATAGAATCAGAATTAATACCACCCAATGGGCCTTTCCACCGTGTCATTCAAACTGACCAATCAAACACGGCCAGGAATACAGGCATGTCCCACAAACATGTATGTCCAACATACACACATGTTTGTGTATGTTGTTTTACACTGCCATTTTGTGGGATCTTAGCAAAAATATCCAAGGACGGGGCTTAGCGTAAAGGTCAGTTGTCCCCAGTTTTCCAAATCGTGTTTTCCCTGCTGAAGTACTAATAAATTTATTCAAGATGTCAAGAGTTCAAACTCCTTACTGTACACTTCATGTGTATCCTTGGACAAGACACTTTAGGTTCAGTTTTCTTCCTATCCAGAAATAAAATGGGGTACCATCTGCAATATAATGGAATTCTTCTCCAGGGAGTTGAATATTTATTCCGTAAGTGTTGGATATAATGACTGGGGTAATAATGTGAAGGCATCATTGCCAGGAGTGCTATATGTGGCTGGCATATTATTATTATTTATGTGGGGCAGTGGCACTTAACAGCTAAAAACTAAACATTGTTGTGTCATTGAATCGAAGTGATTTGATGTTTAATGCATTGGACATCCGTACTGGATTATGAGATTACAAAGGAATGACACCTAAATGAATGATTTTTATTCTGATAGACACTACTTACTTATCTCTCCATCTGGCTCAGTATTTCCATCTTAAAAACATCCCTCTAAGCAGCTGATTATTTCCTTGATTTATTTCCATTCAAAAGAGCTTATCCCCCTAAAATTTGTCTCGTTCCGAATGTCTCATTTAATATAATTTAACTACAGTTATCATTACGTATAGCTGTTGTCCTTGTAAGTAAACTGCTAGAGGTAAATTTAATTCTAACAAATTGTGTCATTGAAATATGAACCATGCTAAATGTTATGTGATTTTTACATGTTACTATCCTTGAAGCTTATTTAGTTTGAACATTTAATTTGTTTGAAGGTTTCTAGATGATCCTTGTTGTTCAGTTCATATCTGAATTATTGATTTTTTTCTAAATATAAATGCTGAAAATTATGGAAAGAAAGATATATTCAAAATGTTACAGTAATATAATCGTCATTGCATTATTTTTGGATATTTAATTTAATGTGGATAATATTTTTAAAAAGGTGGAAGAATCAGACATGTTTTAAATTGTATTCTCACATTTAAATAATTCAGTCTGGTCAGCATTGTCTTAGCTGTTATTCAATGTAAGGTAACATACAGAATATAACTCAGCTGAGTAGAGCAGCCAAACAGGAAAAACATAGTCTTGGATTTAAATCATAATGCCAACAACAGATATTTTTCTTTGACCTTTTCTTGCCTATAGAATTTTTATGTTCTCTTGAGCAAATGATAATGATGAAGATAAATGATTATTAAAGTATATTTTTTGAAGCTTTCTCCACACTATCAAATTTTATGCGAGAAATTTGTGTGATGTGCTCATATATAGGCATGATGATATCATATTACACCCAAATATGGGCATTTCACATTTATTGTGACAAAAACTGTCTTCTTCTTATCAAGCTTTACCTTTTCTTGTAGAAAAAAAAATTCTAAATTGTCGGGTTCACATTACAAACTAAATTTAATTGAATTATTTTCTTTATTTTGTTTTTCCAGGTTGTTTACCTTTACTGATCAACCTCCTGCATGGTCCAGAGGACTCATTGATGGGAGATCCAAGAGCAAGTAAGGAAGCACGCTCCAGAGCTGGAGCTGCATTACACAACATTGTCCACTCTCATCCAGATGAGAAGAAGAAAAAAGAGGAGGCAAAGGTGCTGAGGTTGTTGGAACAAATCAGATCATATTGCGACTTTTTACGAGAGTCGAAAGACGGTGTCAAGCGAAATGCAGAAGGTGAGTGGTATTTAGTGGTAAATATTAATTATATTAAATCTTCAAACAATTCTATTATACATATTGTTATTGTTATTTTTGGAGTCAATATAATAAGTATGTGATGCCAATTCTCCCCGCCAATAACATTCCTCTAAAATAATGGTGTAGTCCATTTCAAGCTTGTCCCAAATGGGTTTCATGACCAAACATGTTTATATTTTAATCGCCAGTGTTTATATTACATTATGAGTAATTTGTTTTCAGACAATTATTGAGTGTTTACAATGATCCAGTAATGGATGATAACATTAACATTATAATGAATTAGCCAAAATAAAATTATTTTCTGTCTAATAATGTTCTTTAGTTTTTACTCATCCTTTGTTATGTATTTATTTGCTGAAAAAAGTAAAACTCACATTATCAATTCTTCTTTTATAGTAGACCCAGCATCACCAGTATTTGATCATAATCCAGCCCCAGCCGTAGCTACCCTCATGAAACTGTCGTTTGATGAGGAACACCGAAGTGCAATATGTCAGTTAGGTAAAGTCTCTCTATCTTTTTACTTTATTGTAAATTACAGTATTCGTTTTTTATTAGTTATTCTATTTATTGGTATTATTATTACTTTGGTTTTCTTGTGTTTTTTAGAATTAAAGTAATTATTGTTATTATCATCCTTAATATTATTATTCTTATTGTAGTGGAGTAAAGATGCTCGTTTTCCAATCCCAGTGTCCTGGGTTTAAATCCTGTCAGATGCCAGTATTTTTTCTCTCGACAAAACAACTCCACTCCATAAGTCTCATTATGAGTGTATATGTTTGTCCTGTAAAGGGATTTCCACCTTTTTAACAGAGCAGTGATAAAGTCGCGGTTTGTAACCCTTGGCCATCTGTCTATATATTCTTTCTATATATTATTCTATCTATATGTTTCTTTATAATATTCAATTATATTTGTAGTTACTGATGTTCCGGTTTTTATGATGAAAATCAAAATGTTTTAACATTTTCAGTTAATTGAAATATTCTTTAATATTTAAATGTAACTACAGTATTTTTATGTGTAACACATTAAGATTTTCAAATTCTTTCAATTTCAGGAGGATTATTGTCCATTGCAGAACTTTTGCAATTAGATTATGATGTCAACTCTAAGTCACCTGATCAGTATTGTTTACTCTTACGACGCTATGCTGGCATGACTCTAACAAATTTGACTTTTGGAGATGGTGCAAATAAAGCTACTTTGTGTTCAATGAAAGGTTGTATGCATGCTCTTGTTGCTCAACTGAATGCTGACAATGAAGACCTCACACAGGTCGCTGCCAGCGTTCTTCGGAATCTTTCCTGGAGAGCAGATATTGCCAGCAAGCGTGTTCTGCGAGAAGTTGGCTCCGTCATTGCACTGACAAATGCCGCTTTGATCGTTAAGAAAGAACCAACTTTAAAAAGTGTACTGAGTGCTCTGTGGAATCTCTCGGCACATTGCACTGAAAACAAAGCAGACATTTGTGCTGTAGAAGGTGCCCTCAAGTTTCTTGTTAGTACATTGACTTATAAAAGCCCTTCTAGAACCTGGGCAGTTGTTGAAAATGGTGGCGGTATTCTGCGAAATGTTTCAAGCCACATTGCAACAAGTGAGGTGTATCGTAATATATTACGTGTTCATAACTGTTTACAAATTCTATTGAAACAACTCAAGTCTTCAAGCTTAACCATTGTAAGCAATGCATGTGGAACACTTTGGAATCTGTCAGCCCGCTGCAAAGATGATCAGGAATTACTGTGGAAATTAGGTGCTGTTAATATGCTGAAGAATCTTGTACATTCCAAGCATAAAATGATTGCAATGGGAAGTTCTGCTGCCCTTAAAAATCTAATGGCTGCCAGACCAGACATGTCCAGCCATGAGGGCTCAAAAGACTCTACTCCTTCTTTACACATCAGAAAGCAAAAGGCATTGGTGGAAGAGATTGACAAGAACCTTCGTGATGCATTCAGTAGCATGAAAAAAACAAATGATAAGTCAGAAAAAGACAATCAATCCTGCGGAAAAGGAGGCAGAGGAAGGTTGGTGTACCCTAGAAACCAGTCTCACAATAGACACCATGCCGATGCAAAAACAAAAGGACCAGTGTGGTTTCCAAGAGATCCAAACAAACTAGAAACAATGAAATCACAGTCGCCACTTGAATCAGGTTCACCAGAGAGTGATATTCACCAGGTGCAGCAATCACCTGGCTCATCAAGGCATGACAGAAATGATTATGATACAGATGAAAGTGGGAAAGACTCCTCTAGAGGAAGGAGAGATGGCAGAAGACCAGAAGGTTCCAAATTAGAAAGGGTGAGTGACCTACGCTTTTACCAACTTTTTTAAATATATTTTTTAACTGTTACTGCTAATCAATCTGTACTTTGTTTAATCAAGGACTTATAACTGTTACCAGGATAGGAAGCTGGCTTGTTTAAGCCGTCTAACTTGAATTAGCCTTATGTGTGGTATTGTTATGCTGATGAGCCAGATAAGCACAATCTGCACACGCTCAGAAAAACAAAACTTTCCTTAGACACACTGCATATTGGCTAGGCGTACAGATAGGCCTAGCCGAGAATTACGGTATGGTAAAACAAAGCAAAATAAGGGTACTAATTTCACTTGGCATGCAAATCAATCATACTTACACACTTAAAAACAAATAAATCTACCAATTAATTCTGAAATGAAAATGTAAAAAGAAAAGCCTATATTAATAGGCAATGCTGTACTGAATAGGCCTATTCTAATACACTATTTAGATAGGCTTTTCCTTTTCCATCTTTATTTCAGAGGTCAAAACATATTTTTTTTTGACAGTGGTGTCAAATAGTATGGAGTTATGAATTTAGCCTCAAAGCTTATCTTATTTTCTGGGTTACGTACCACTGACTTAGGTTGTTTGTTATCACTTGAAGATGTTTACCGATTCGTGGAAAAGGCGTATTAAAATAAAAAATATTGGCGTTTGTGAGCAATACATTTTCATTTATATAGGTAAATAGTAAGTATATGAATAATTTTAATGCACTAGTTAGTTGATAAATTCATTCTAATTTGTTTTGGGTCTTTTTTCTGCATTTTTATAAGCAGTTAGACATTGCCTAGGCGATGTTCATGTAATACTACAAAACAAAATCACATCAATTTAAAATCAAATTTGTGAACATACTTGCCTTATATCTTAAGTAGCAGGTGATTTTATTGGTAGATTAATTTGTTTTTAAGCGTGTAAGTATGATTCATTTGCATGCCAAGTGAAATTAGTACCCATATTTTGCTTTCACATAAGGCTAATTCAAGTTAGACGACTTAAACAAGCCAGCTTCCTATCCTGGTAACAGTTATAAGTCCTATGTTTAATGAAATGTCTTGAGAATTTTTATGGACATTCTGATATCTAAATGCAAATGCGTCCTTTGTTCATCTCTTTCAGATGATGATGGAGGTGGCAATGAATGCTGGAATCAAGATGGAGAATGAGCAAGAAGAAATGAATGCTGCTCGTCAGTTAGAAAAAGATCAAACATCAATGCGGCCAAGTTCTGTGACAAAGATCCAGCACAGTGGATCTAACCTTACAAGTAGATCTAATTCATTTTGTTTTGGCTTTGATGCCAATGGCCAAAATTTCCATGCAAGGAGACTTTCAAATGACAGCATCAACAGTATTGCTAGCGATGTATATCCAATGGGTGCACATGGAAGTCCTTATGGAAGACATCATATAGACCATCAACTAGCATATGGTGCAGGTTATCCACATGAAGTCTTGGCACAGAATCATGCAGCAATGATTAAGAAGGTCACAGATGATGGTCTTGAACAAGATAGAGACATTACTATCAATTTCAGTCAGAAGTATTCTGATGAAAGTCTTGGCGGAGGACGGGCTCCTGCCAAGGATGCAAAAGAAAATGAAGATCCTAGGACACAAATCCATCATATACCTTTGGATATGGCAAGGAAGTATCAGTTAACTTTTTGCCAACAAAATGAGGATGAGAGACATATGTTCAATATAGGACCCATGAACAACTCCCACTCAAGAAATTTTAATTATTCGACTGGTTACAACATGAATCTTCCAGCCAATGGACAACCCCCACAAGAACAAAAATCAAGTAGTGTGGAGATCATTCGTGCACGACCAAATCCAAAACTGCCTACTTTCCTAGGATCGCAAGTTCCGTCAAAAATGAGAGAACCAGCAATACAAGGTGCTAGTAAGGTCCACTATAACGATGACGAGCATGAACAGTTCTCTGCTACTGATCAACCTACTGATTACTCACAAAGATATGCAACAGATATGGATGAGTCAACTTCTCCAGGGGTAAATTTTATCCAGATGCCATTTTCCTCGGGCACAAATTCAAGTGTCTTTATGGTAGCTGAAGGTTTACCAGATGCTTTGAATTCAAGTAACCAACAGAGTGATTCATGCAAAGATGAAGATAAAGTAGTTGCTCAGTCTCACACTAAAAAAGAAATGTTCAAGGATGATAAAAAGAAATTCTGTGTTGAGGACACACCAACCGTATATTCAATGCGCTCTTCCTTAAGTTCCTTAAATTTTGATGAGCCAGGGAAAGAAGCAGACATTTCTGTACATGCTCCTCAAAGTGAATCATATACACCACCAGAATGCGAACAGCATGATGAGGAACAGAGAATTGAAGGTGACACTGAATCAGGAATAACACAAGATAGCAAGTACGAGAAGGACGAGAGGGAGGTACACTTTGTTGAGGAAACACCATTGGTATTTAGTAGAGCTAGCTCAACAAGCTCATTAAGTAGCTTTGACATGCCATCCATTTGTGAAGACCGCTCATCAATATTTAGTGACAGCAGGCGAGCTAGTGAGGTTGTAAGTCCAAGTGATCTTCCAGATAGTCCAAGTCAGAGTATGCCTTCTAGTCCAAAGCGATGCAAATCTGCAATCTTAAAGAAAAAAGCTGCGATTTCTGAACAAACAGTTATAAATACAGTTGCCAAAGCACCTCCCCCTCCTGAATTACCATACAAACCCACTTCGTTTGCTACTGAAGGAACCCCAATGGAGTTTTCTTGTGCAACAAGTTTGAGTGGCTTGAGTATTGAAGGAGAGGAGAAGATCAAGAAAGAACCTGACTTGCCTCTTGTACGATCAGAGGAATTCAATGAACAGGAAACTGAATCACAGATAACAACAGATGATACTGAAACTACAGAGGAAGAAGTTGCTGAAATGTCTGAAAGAGAACAAAATCTATTGGATGACTGTATTCAGTCTGCCATTCCTGCCAAAAAGGTTTCAGTCCGTCAAAATAAAGTAAAACCCAAAGCTGGCAGCAAACTTGTGAAAAATTCAAAATCAAAGAATGATTTACTGTCACCATCTAATGAGGAACCAGAGGATATATCACCTAAAGATGTGAAAAAGAATTACTGCACAGAAGACACACCACTTATGTTGTCAACTCGAACATCTCTAAGCGACCTGACAATCGATGATTTTGAGATCAATGCAACAGCAGAAGGTCAGTTAGTTATGCAGGAAGTGAAACAATCTCATGTTCAAGAGAAGAAACCTAAGGGGCTTCAAGAAAATCAGTTAAGTACAAAGCAGGAAGAAGCAGTGTCAGAATCGAATTCTGTGTTGAGTGAGACAGATGATTCGATTCTTGAGGCATGTATCAATTCAGCAATACCACCACCCAAACCATCTAAATTGAGACATAACAGTTCTAGGGGGAAGTCAACTAGACTTGGGCCAAAATCACGAAATGTTGGACGACCAAGTGGTATACCACGAAGGAGAAATACTCCTCCAGATAACAGACATAGAAATCATTCTCCAATACCTGAAGTTGAATCTGAAAATAGGATGACAGCAGGTAAAGAAAGAGTACAAGCTTGGCAAAGTTCTCAATCTGATGCATTGATACATTTTAAGACTGAGGGAACACCCAGTACATATTCAGCAGGATCTGGTCTTAGTAAATTGACAATTGACTCCGCCCTTCAAGAAGATGTTATTAATGGTAATGTTGAGCTAAATTCAATATCACAATTTCCAATTTCATGTGCCACAAGTAAACATAGCATTCCAGCACCAAGTACAGAGAGAAGGCCTGCATATGGGGCTAGCCTTGGAGCATCACCAATAGACTCACCAAGAGTATTTGGTATTGAGGGCACTCCAATATCATTCTCAAGGAATGACTCCCTCAGCTCTCTTAGTTGTGAAGAAGATGTTGACTTTTCTCAAGCTAAAAAGAAACTTTCTGCTGAAAAAACCACAGACGGAAAGTCTTCCAATGATTTAAAATTTATGAAGCAAAACTCTGCTGCAATACAAAGTGAAACATCAAAGAATATTGAAGTTTCAGGAAAACCAATTAATCAAAAGAAATCAGAATCATCTGAAATCTCAAACAGAAGATCACGAATAAATTCTATGGATTCTTGCAAAAAGTTTTATGAGGAGGGTACACCATTTTGCTTTTCACGTAATTCCAGCTTAAGCTCGCTGAGTGATCCTGATGATTTGGATGTTGGTGTGGATGTAAATCAATCAGAACAAAATGAACAACCAGAACAGCAGTATACAACTACATCTGGTAAAGACACACCACACATGTTTGCCATAGAGGGCACACCAGTGTGCTTCTCGCGTAACAGTTCTCTTAGTTCTCTAAGTATGGATGAAGAAACAGAAGCGGAACAAGCTCTTTTGGATGCATGTATAAATTCTGCTATACCGCCAAAGACAACAAAGAAACCTAGCTCTAAGCCACCCAAACCTAGAGTCAGCACTTTGGCACAAAACCAGAAAGGAAATGTCGCATCTAGTCTTAGTGCTACTCAACAGTTAATGGAGAAGAAATCTGAATCAACAACAATGCAAGGAAAGGGACCTCGAATAGTTAAACCATCTGAAACTACTCCAAAGCAACCAGAGGTAAAGAGTATTGTTGGTGGCAAAAAAACATATAAAAGTCCAATTACAGGAAGATCACGGTCCATCACACCACCACGTTCAACAACACCTCCTAAAGCTGTTCCAAGTGTAGCAGTTCGGAAAAACACAGCCCAGAAGACACCAATCAGTCGATCCACTTCTTCAAGCAAACTACCAACGTCTACATCACCTATATCTAAATCAAATAGTGGAGGGATTGAAACTAAAACTAAAACAAATATGAACAAAGCAAAGCCATTGGTGAATAAACCTGGTAACAAGTCAAATAGTGCTAAAACACTAGGTACAGCAAAGAGTCCTAGAACCGCAGTGTCATCAGCACCATTAAGAACAACTTCAGCACCTGCATCTCGAACAGTGTCAGCTCCTGGGTCTAGATCACAATCACCTGCTTTGAACAAACAAACAGTTAACAAAAGATCTATCTCACAAAGTCCAGCTAGAAATCTGGGTCGCAATACTCCCCCTTTGTCAAGGAATCAGTCAACGGCTAGAAGAGCAAGTATTGACAGTAACTCATCAACTAGTTCAAATACAAGTGGGGTGAAGTCCAAGACCACTACAACACCTCCTAGGAATATTGCCAACAAAGCAACTGGATCTAAAAAGATACCTGCAAAACCAGTTATCAAATCATCGCCAGCAAAGAGTGCCACAGCTTCTCCTAAAACTAGCCGAGCTAGAACTGCAGGAGCAGGCGTGAAAAAGAAAGCACCAGCCATTTCAAATACATCGGCGTCTTCTACTAAAGATACACTCGGTGTCCCAAGACCAACTCTAGTTAAGCAGTCCACATTCACCAAAGATTCTGCGTCCATTCCAGAAAGTACACCTGTAAATACGACCATTGTAACTACAACTGCTTCAGGAGGTGCTAAACAGGAAAGTAAACCTTTGAAAGGCAGACCACAGGCACTTAACATAAATAAAAAGACAAGTGCTGTTAAATCTAAACCTACTGGTAAGGATACTACAGGAAAATCAAAGTACAATCCATCTAGTACTCCACCTCTTTCAAAAAAGGCATCCACAGTTTCAAAAAAGGCACCCACAACTAAAGGGCATACTGATAAATGCGATATCAAGCGGCAGAGTGTTTTTGAGAAAGAATTAGAAGAACTTCTTGGTGCAGCTGGAAATCAACTAAGTACTGAAGTTGGTTCTCGTCTGACATTCATTGTAAGAAAGGGACCACCACATGCACATGCAAAGGATATTAGTGAAAGTGAAGCAGAAGAAAAGCAGAGCAAAGCAACCTCACAGGAACCTCCACAGTCCAAGTGTGACTCAGCTACAGTGTGTTCTAAAACTAGTGAACCATCTAGTCATGAAAAAAGTAGTGATACATGCACCAGTGAGCTTCATCAGAAAAGTGTTGAAGTGTTGAAAAGTGTTGAATCTGATACTTATATTACTAGTGATTCTGCTAGTATATGTTCTCATGCAAGTGAGATAACCACCACTTTTAGACCGCTACCTGAACGAAGTTTATCTACTCCAGAACCAGGATCACGTGGACCTTGGATGAAGAGGGATGACAGTGATTTGACTTCACCAACATCTTCAATGGCATCATCTGCTCTCACCTCTCGCCACAACAGTTCATACAGTTTGCATGCTATTAGTGAATGTGGAGATGCTCTAAACTGGAAACATAGAGTTAACTCACAGTCAGCATTTGGGAATAGAATTGAAACATGGAGTCGCCAGAGCACACCACAAGCAGGACGGAAGAACATGATTGTCAACACAAAATCCCAGAGTGTGAACAGCCTTAGTGGGGTTGAATCTGAGAAAAAAGACAAGAAAAGATTTTCTTTTTTAAGATTTAAATTCAGGAGTAAGAAGGGTTCAGACGAAGAGGGGAAAAAACCTTCCAAAGAGTCTAAGTCAAAGGATACAAAGAAAAAAGAAGAAAAATCAAAGAAAGAAAAATCAAATTCTACAGAAAACTTTGAAAGATCTTCTGAACGAAGCAGTAAAAGGAGCTCATTCAGAGCTAAGTTTTCACCTCGCATTAAGAAAAAAGGAAAGAAAGAAGAGAAAGGAAATAACACAAAGGATAAGCCAGTAGAAAACAATGAAGAGAAATTAAAAGAACTAGAAATGCAAAAGGATGGTGAGAAAGGCAGTTTCGAGAAAGAGGTGTTCCAGGAACAGGAAATTAACTTTGAAAGCAGGCTGGAGGGACTCGATGATTGGGATAGTGACAATAACATTGATAAGGAAGTCATGCCATATTATACGGAAGAATGGGACAGTGACAATGATATCAACAAGGAGACGATGCCAGACTTGCCAGAGAGCAATTCAGATATGGAGCGCAGTCCCGATGATGCACCTTATCAGATTTCAATCATTTATAAATGTTGTGAGACAGAATCAGATGGCAGTAAAGCAACTAGTGCTCTCAAAGTATGCAATGAAGAAGACCAAAAACCCAAAGGCTTAGAAAACCGCTTGAATTCATTCATAAGGCTAGATGAGAAAGACGAGACACAACAGGTTCCAAAAAACTCCCGAACGAGGCGGAGGACACTCAGTGCCGACGTATCCCACCAAACAGAGTCACTGAACGGGTCACCTCGGCCTCAGAAACTGCATCTTCCACAAAAGCCATTCGGAATGAATCGAAGCGACAGTTCTCCAGCAACCGTAACATCAGTTCTTGTATCTCCTTATAACTACAGTCCATACAAGCGATCATCTGGTCAAAGTGCAGAGATGACCCGTTTGATTCAGGATATCAAACAGTTACGTCTTACAAAAGATGACCTGATGAAGCTTGGTAGTGAAGAAGGGGATAATGACCTTATTAGTCCATCAAGTTCATCAACAATCACCACTGTGTAATCTTGCACCCCAGCAGACCAAGGGTGTACTATATTCCATGAAGTACAGTCTTGGTGAAATATATAGTGTTAGTTTTATATCACCATGACCTAGAATTCACTGCATTTTAAGTGTTACTCTTTAATTTATTGACATTCAAGACAATTTGTTGTTTTAACTACCAGTGTTCAGGATTTAAAATGTTGTAATTGATTATTATATACAAATTACCACATCGTTTATTCTCATTGTCATTTAAATAGTTTATTCATTAATAAGTGGTCACCAATTGTTTTCTCTATTTTTATTTTCATAGAATTCTTTAAATATATTTTATAAACGTGTTGTTTTGTTCAATAATGACTAAATGTGCGTTTATATACATTTTGACTTCCGTAAGTCCAGGACAATTTGGTGCGACGGGCATTTTCCAGTAATTAGGATAACTAGCTATTGTAGCAGAAGTACTTAAACATTAATAGACAATACATTGGATGCTGCAATAACGATGTTTATTATCAATAGGCCTATATTTACGATTACTGTACCTTAAGGTTTCTGGTGTTTTTGAAGTTTTCTATGCTCATGATGTATTGATAATTTAAGTTGTATGTTTATCATTATTCCTATTTATAATGTACAGTTATTTGAATATCAGAACATTAATAGCTTCTAAAGTTGGTACACAGCATTAATAACAAGTAATCATGAATATCATTCATCAGATATCATTTAAAATATCATCTGTGAAATGAAATTGATTGTTGATTATAAATTTACAGCAGGCGTGTGTATCTAAATTGAATGTACTGTTATAGATGTGTGTCATTCCCAAGGTTGAGATACATGAGTTCAAAAGTGGGGAGGGGATGCCATCTCAGAGTACATTAGTAATGATTTTGACAGTTAAAGGGGGAAGGGTGGGATGGGGAGCAAACACCCATCATGGTTCCATCACTTAATTTTCTACTGATTATCACATAGAATGTTCATACAGAATCAAATACAACTCTTAATGGCCAATGTTTTTAACTAAGCATTGTCAAAATTTCTGAAATAGCTACCGAATCATGAATTGTTAAATTCACTTTATAGAGTAGATTTGTTGTGTAGTCAAGTATAGTTTTATATATCTGGGATTTATGTTGAAATCAAAGATCTTTGGTTGAAATGTAATCTGCTTCATGCTCAACATATTCTGTTTCGAGTATCTGAGTATTTTAAAGGTTTCATATATTTAAGTGTGTGTGCTTAAATTGGGAACATTCTATTTTGCAATATAGGCCCATAAATGGATCTCTGTTTGTCACTGACACCATTATAATGGACATTTTTTAAATTAGCACTATCATGTTACAATATTATCAAGTCATATTCAACAACAATATATCAATACAGTAATCATAATAAGTAATTGATGGAATTTTGGAATATTGAATCAACATTTTAAATTCGTAGGGCTCTGTGATCAGGTTGTCTCTGTACCTCAAAACTTATCTCTTCTGATAATTTTCCCCTTTTGTATAATAGAAAGTTATGACTCAAGCCTAGAAAATTTTATACTCTTGCCAAAGAGAATATAAGGGAAGAGGTTCAAACACCAGATATTTACTCATGTATGTTACCATTTGAGTTGTCAAATGCACACACACGCCAAGTTACGACATTTGCCAGATCGTAGAAGGGGTGCTTTTGAATAGATTATTTATATACTGTATTTTATTGAGGAGGTATAAGACCTCTTTCCATATACACTCTTTGAGTCTAGGTTCAGTAAATTGCTATAGTCAAGATACTATTAAAGTACATGTTCATTTTAGATGTAAAAGTAAGAGCCAGAGGTTTTGGGCTTTGTGGAATTTTGCAATATGCTGTACAGAATTTGTTAGTGAATATATCTTGATGTTTCCTTAGTAGGCCTGTAAAGATTCTCATGGTACTTGATATGTTCATTATTTTCACGTGTTGTGTCAGTAATGCCTTGTATGTATAATGAAAATGATAATAAAGAAATCAAAGGAAATAAATATTTACTTCATGATTTTATTCGTCATTCTACTTGTATAATTTGTATATTTCATATATTATTCAGTAATTGATTGCAAAACGATCCAATGACATTGTGTGATTAACGCCTTGCTAGTGATCTTCCTTTAAAATGTTTGGAATAATCCGGTAACTCCTTAGTAGCCCATGCCTCTGTTAGAAAATAGAAACAAAAAAGTTGGTGTCCAAACGGACCAATCAGAAACATTCGCATTCGTAATTCATTATGTAGTACTGTAACAGGGTGTCAGAGCAAATTTAAATCATGATTTTCAAAAAAAGTGGAAGGCAACCTTCTACACTACACCAAGTATAGTTCCACTCAACTTTGCTACAAACTTTTGTTTAAAATCTCTGACTTGCAGTACATTCTTTTTCTATGTGTCTACATCAAAGCACATAAACACTTTAGTGTCGATATTTGATACTCACGCAACTGCACATGATTGTCGACGAGATTTCATTCGTACTTGTCGTAGTTTTCTATCCTGCTCTGTTTCAAATTGGTCTTCGTCATACGTGTGGAAAGTCTGCTTAGGAACCACTATCTGGAAACCATTTAAACAAATAATTTTGTAAATAAATCTGGAAAGTGTTCATTTAATAAAAACTGTTGTGCAGTACTACCATTCTGGTCTATTAAAACAATGCTGTGCACTAATTTCAATAATGATCACATTAAATATAGGGGGATCATCACAAACATAAGTATGCCAACCAGAAGTAATCGAAATTCGAAATGATGTACTATATTTGCCCAGATCGAAAATAGAAATTTATAAATGTTGCTTCATTTACTGTGGAACCTTTAACGGTTTACCGTATGAATTTAGATATCAACAAAACTACAACTATTTTAGACTGCCCTCTAGATGCGGTATCTGAAATAGAATTTACCTAACATTATGGTAATTGTTTATTATATTATATGTATCTTATAATTAGGGAGTCCTATTCATTTAATCCTTGTTGCTACAAAATTCATTTTCTAATTCAATACAGTACTTAAGATATCGTTTGTTTTTATGTGAATTAGGAAGAGCAATGTTCATCACTGAGAGGGTTGTCTCAGTAATTGGCAGATTATAAGTTACTTTACTAGGATCTTACCCTATGACCATGAAATTTCTCTATGATCATATTTTCCTGTATACTTTGCATGGCGTCCCTAATTCTTTCCTTCTCGTAGTCTATACCAGATCTTGATTCGCGTTCAGCCTCAAGAATGCGACGCGTTCTCTCCAGTGCACACTCGTTGTCTGCCCATTGTATAGATTGCCTATGGAAGGATGATTATTATTATATCATGAACTAAATACTCCATTGGTATAGGTTTCCTACATTAAAACAATGCAGGCCTATATAAAGTAATGGACAAGACCTAGCGTCGGCTAATAATAGCAATCAACCGTCAAGGCCTAGGCTGTCACAAATAGAAAAATTGTCAATAATAAGACCTACAAAAGTTTTACTAAAAACATCCTTAAATGTATGAGTAGAAATTTAGAGATTTTTAAAAACATTTTCTAATTGTATACTTTAATTAAGCAATTTCATTAACCTACCGACGAATCATTCTTTGCATGACGTCATCATGATGTATTTCGGATTCCCGAACAGCTCTTGCCTCCTTCTGAGATTCATCTTGCTAATTGGAGAAACAGAATTGCAACGCATTACTGTATATTGAAGAACAAGAAAACTAAAGAGATGTTGAGTGCCAAGGAGTAGTGGTGGCGCCAGTGGGTGGAGGGGGGGGGGGCACTTGTCGTCCGGCAGTAATTTACCTATAGTAAATAACGCTATTTTGTGGTCTAAAAGCTCATTTAGGACCAAATTAAGCCATAAAAACTCTCCCCATGAACCCTAACAAAGATTATCCGGGCCGTCGACCGAGGCTTCGTCATCGCCTTGGTTCGAACTCCTCCGTCGGACACGTCGGACCCCTTGTCGGCAAAGTTCTGGCGCCACCGCTGCCAAGGAGTGTCTTAGCAGTAGGCCTACCCCAAGCAATACAGTAAATAACAAACAGCTATAGAATTTGAGATTATGTGTGATCTTACCACACATGGATTTTTTTGCTCATTTTAATGTATGAACGGGGCATTGATTTTCTGGAAAGGCCCCTCTTCATATATGGTATGTAATGTACAGTATTTTTATTAATGATGCGTTCATTAGAACTTGTGAAAACTGATTTCACAACTTGTAAAATGCGAGAACACGAGAAGAGTGCATACATTCACGAACGCTAAAATCATAGTGCATGCTTATCATGTCTATTGTGTGTGGGCGATAATACCTTGGTAGGCCTAATAGGTTTAGCCTATGTAAAAGAGCACTTAAATCTGTAAAGTGCATTCATAAACGTTATATAGTGCAAATCATAAGGTTGCTAATAGAACGTACAAAAAACACTTTTTTTAAATCTGAAATAATATTACTTAAATTGCAATAAGGACCTCTGCTCGTTTGTGTTGCATTTCCACTTACATTTTCCACACTACTTGTGGAAATCGAGGAAGAAAATCTAGTCCGAGTTCACAACGTTCTAATGAAAGCAACATAAGGCACAATGTTTATAGGCCTATGATATCAGCAAGATATAGATCTACATATCCAGTTATCAATTTGTTCATTTGCCGCGTATTAGGCTACTGATGTTTAAAGTTATTCAGGTGAAATATTCTTCGTTTTTATTTATTTTTTCCCCAAACCTTCCGAGATGCCTACAGATATATTCATTTTCTTTCGTCAAAATCTATGTATTATTATATTATCAGTATAACTCACAATAACCCCTGCAAACAATCTCATAAGTTCCTCGTGTGAAAGTACTTTGAGTTGCATGGATTTGGTACTGGTTTTGTCCATCTGTTTCTTTCCAGACGCATATGCCCTCGCTTCTGCAAGCCGTCGTCTTTTTTCGTTTTCTTCCTTAATAAAATCGTAGATTACCATATTATTTTGAAAACGTTTAATCGATTGACACCCCTGAAAGGTCCATCCACATTTAGCAGCAGGCCTACGCATCGGACGCAAACTCGCGCAGTTCCACTGCGTCAATGGTCAGGTTCTTATGAGAGCCCAATGATCCGGAACTAACCGTTAGCACCCGCTAACCGTTACCAGGATCCGGATTACGCTAACGGGTAGCAAGCGCTAACCATTAGCGTATCCGAATCCTGGAAACGGTAAGCTGCCGATCCGGATGCTAGGGCTTTCGTGTGAACCTGACAAAATATAGTCATATGCGTTGTTTCATGTGCTTGCTTAAAATCGCGTCTGAATTGCTCAAGAAAAAGCCTTAATGGTGTTGCGCGCATTTTTATAACCATGACATTATTGCGATATTAAGATGTGTCATCTCAACATGGTGGACTTAAGGGTGTGTGCTATCGGAACAGGGCATTTTATACACTTTGAGTTTTGATAGTTCGTAACAAAAATAAATTTTAAAATGTTTATTTTATAGGGCCGCCCCAGTTTCACTATTAATTTGTGTATTTTATTATCTTACTTGCATTAATGATCCTAGTGAGTTCGTAGATCTCTTGAAGTTCAATACAAGTTCATCTTTCATTTCACGGTAAAGATCGTCCAGTGCGTGCTCCTCCTCAGCCTTAACAACCTTTAACATGGACATGTTATTTTTTTTATCCTAATTATTATCATTATTGACGTATATTAATGTCTGAATTCTATTTTTTATATTGTTCATAATACGGTAACTAGGTAGTATATATTTTTAAAGTTCTTTATTTCTAAATTAGCATTTGTCTGTTGCTGTAAATTATTCCCGTAACTCAACTCACCTCGAGATCTCCCATTGCACCGTTCAACTCGTTCTGAATCGCAGCCCAAATGTTGTTGACGTGCGCTAAACATTTCAGATAATTTCTGAACTCCTTGTCAGATGCCGTCTGTGTCAAATTTAACGAAATATTTTACTTGCTTTCTCAATTTACATACTATTTATATGCACTGCGATGCATGCTATTAAACGATATTTTATGCAACAGTAGTTCGTTTAAACTTTTACTAAAGTACATGATGGCAACGAGGGAGTTACAACGGTGTCATATAAAACATTTTCCCCTCTTTTTCAGAAGAATTCTCGAAGTTCCTCGCCTTCTATTTTTGCTTAATATTTTTCTTTCGTTCAATACGTTTTTTAATCGGAAGTAATAAATACTGTATATTAAAATATAGAACCACTTTTTATAACGCACAATCATGTACCTGCGTCTAAAGATTTTTTTCCTTCAAAATAGTACAGTTGAAGTACAGTACCTTATTATCGTCAGTCATGGCATTCATCAACGATACTCGGCGCTCTCGCTCATCCTCTACTGCCCTCACTAACTTAAAGTCGTTTGCTTTTCTTGCCAGTACATTTAAGCTGTAGTCTAAGTTGTCTTCACAATCATGCATAATCGAGTCAATCTTCTTTTTCTCGGCTTCCTTTACAAACAATATTGAGAATTACAGCAAATGACGTCACAATGATTATGTGACGTTAACGTTGATGTTTTACAGGCCCGTAGGAAGCAATTTATTATTGGTCAGGCCAAAGATACAAAGGCCCGGCCCACCCCATCCCCTCCCTTGACCCGTGAGACGGATATTTACCAGTTCCTCGACGGAGGATGCAGACTCACTCAACCCCACCAGGATCCAGATCACCCACACACCGCGCTGATGGTGCCGACCTTGGTGTTTTTCTACTCCCAAAATAAAATTTTCGAAAAAGTATGTCCTATAGAGCATTATTCTTACCGGGTTAAGTCAAGAAGACGTATTAATAGAGGAGAGCATGTTATATAGTGGGACCAGACAAGCACCCAGGTTTGCAATGTTGTAATTAAACTCGGAAATTATTAGCCCATATGCCTTAATAATAACCAAATTCTACACTTTGTTGGTTTGAATAATACAGTGTATTGCGAAATGGTAAAAAAAAATAAGTTGTTCAAGATTGTTTTATTGTAGGCCTAAATTTAACTTCCTATCTGCAAATATGTTCTAATTATCATGTATACATAGGCATGTATAAACAGTTAAACACATAATTTGGTACATCATTATTTATAAAAATTATAAATAGTAATGGTCCCAAGATGTAATTTAGCTTCTAAACCATGCTAATGACATTTTTACAAGACATGGGCCTACAAGATTATGCAGTAAACTATTAAGATCAAGTGAGACTAATCCAACAACTTTACTTTTATCAATAACATCAAACCAATCTGTAACATTTATTGAGAGACCGCAAGAAGTTATAGAGTACGCAGACAAGCACCCAGGTTTATAACTGACCTCAAGTTAGTACAGGCTATTCTGCCTTAATAATGACCAAATCACTCAATTTGTATTTTATTTTGTACGAATAATACAGCGTATTGCGAAAATAATTATATTGATTGTCATAGGCCTTAATTCCATTCTTTTCCGTGGGTGTGTGACCTCGATGCTTGAAGCATGGCGATATGCTCGGAAGTTAGGCGATAGGCTTAACGTAATTTTGTACAAAATGTAAAACAAGAAACGCGATGTTACGCCAAAACGACAATTTGACATACAAACGATATATTGATAATAATATTGATTGGTGATTATTGGTCCAGTCAAAGTCAAGCGTCGAGTGAGATTATAAAACGCTCATAAAATACCTTTGTGTAGGTAGGTCTGTTTCCTGTTTCCAACAATTATACTTACAAGATTGAATCCTATGAGACGAAAGAGTTCGTTGTTAATTGTTAGCACCATGCTTTTGGCACCTAAATGGCGATTTCTTTCATCCCGCATCCTTCTCAATTTCTCCCTATCGACGGCACTGTAATCAAGATGAGGATAATAATTATAAATAACAATAACCATTAACAATAAATAATAACAGTAGTAACAATAATTTTAACATTTCTGAGGAATAATATTGATTATATATATATATATATTATATATATATATAGATATCATATATATATATATATATATATCAATCAATGAAATGACATAAACAACTTAAAATAAAATACACAAATATTTCTCAACATATAATGCATAGGCCTATATAAGATATATAAGCCTATATATATATATATAATATATATATATAACATATAATGCATATATAAGATATATAAGCCTATATATATATAGGCTAATATATCTTATATATACATTATATGTTGAGAAATATTTGTGTATTTTATTTTAAGTTGTTTATGTTATTTCATTGATTGATTGATTGAATAAATGTTTATTGAACTTTCCTTATTTGCAGTTATCAACCTCCTCCCTACTGATGATTAGGTATGCCTCACACTGTTGTTACCATGCTGTGATAAAAACTAAACTTACTCATCGACGGCGGAAACTGTCTGTTTTCGGAGTTTTCTCTCCAAGTAGCACGACTCTTCCTCCTCAACATCCCAGTGTTTCCTGTCATAAAAATGGCTTGCTTGCTTCATTGCTAATCGTTTTGTCCTGATCTGTAAAACATGCCGGGATGTGTGAACCTAACATAATGACTGGATGTTGTAATCTGTTTATTTGTTTTTGTTGTCTGTGTGATTGTAGTATTGTGATGTATTGGGTTCCCTGTCTCTTATACACATCTAGATGTGTATAAGAGACAGATACTGTATATTAAAATATAGAACCACTTTTTATAACGCACAATCATGTACCTGCGTCTAAAGATTTTTTTCCTTCAAAATAGTACAGTTGAAGTACAGTACCTTATTATCGTCAGTCATGGCATTCATCAACGATACTCGGCGCTCTCGCTCATCCTCTACTGCCCTCACTAACTTAAAGTCGTTTGCTTTTCTTGCCAGTACATTTAAGCTGTAGTCTAAGTTGTCTTCACAATCATGCATAATCGAGTCAATCTTCTTTTTCTCGGCTTCCTTTACAAACAATATTGAGAATTACAGCAAATGACGTCACAATGATTATGTGACGTTAACGTTGATGTTTTACAGGCCCGTAGGAAGCAATTTATTATTGGTCAGGCCAAAGATACAAAGGCCCGGCCCACCCCATCCCCTCCCTTGACCCGTGAGACGGATATCTGTCTCTTATACACATCTGGCCTAATAGGTTTAGCCTATGTAAAAGAGCACTTAAATCTGTAAAGTGCATTCATAAACGTTATATAGTGCAAATCATAAGGTTGCTAATAGAACGTACAAAAAACACTTTTTTTAAATCTGAAATAATATTACTTAAATTGCAATAAGGACCTCTGCTCGTTTGTGTTGCATTTCCACTTACATTTTCCACACTACTTGTGGAAATCGAGGAAGAAAATCTAGTCCGAGTTCACAACGTTCTAATGAAAGCAACATAAGGCACAATGTTTATAGGCCTATGATATCAGCAAGATATAGATCTACATATCCAGTTATCAATTTGTTCATTTGCCGCGTATTAGGCTACTGATGTTTAAAGTTATTCAGGTGAAATATTCTTCGTTTTTATTTATTTTTTTCCCAAACCTTCCGAGATGCCTACAGATATATTCATTTTCTTTCGTCAAAATCTATGTATTATTATATTATCAGTATAACTCACAATAACCCCTGCAAACAATCTCATAAGTTCCTCGTGTGAAAGTACTTTGAGTTGCATGGATTTGGTACTGGTTTTGTCCATCTGTTTCTTTCCAGACGCATATGCCCTCGCTTCTGCAAGCCGTCGTCTTTTTTCGTTTTCTTCCTTAATAAAATCGTAGATTACCATATTATTTTGAAAACGTTTAATCGATTGACACCCCTGAAAGGTCCATCCACATTTAGCAGCAGGCCTACGCATCGGACACAAACTCGCGCTTTTTTCGCCTTCATTACTTACAAATGTATCCAAGAGAGCACGGAGTTCTTTTTCACCAGGTAAGGTTTTGTTGGGGTTCGTATAGGTGATTGCATTCTTTACAACAAATTTAGCATCGGCCGCGATGTCTGTTATTGCCTTAATTCTAGGTAAATAATTGTTATCAGCAATGAGTAGGTAAGAACGACTCTTCGCCCTACTCAGCAATTCTTTTAGCTCATTGCTATGATCGTTTATGTCTTGAAATGCACTGGCGAATTTAATCATTGTGATAACGTCTGCATCTCCTATGACGGAGTCTTCAATTTCGTTAGAGCTCTGAGCTTGCAGATTATATTGTTTGTACTCAACGTTGATATTACTAGGCCTACCACTCCTAGAGATAGTGTTAGACAGGTGTTGATTAAGCTTTTGCCACGATCTTTTCCATTCGTATTTGTCAAGAACAGTTGCATCGATATTGATACCCTCATTGGCACCAATTATGGCTTCCAAATACATGTAAAGTCCAAAAATATCGGTACCAGGGCCTCCTCCAATACTCAATACATTTATATGATTAGGCTTATCTATACGCCTTTCTTCGTTGAAAAATAATTTATGAACAGTACCTAATTCACCCCTTCTTACCCTTTCGTCATCCATTTGTTTTAGTCCGTTGTTGATTGCATGACTGATTGCTGAGAAATAGAAATATAAATATCCTGCTTGATTTTGGTTTTCGTCAAAATTGAAATCCACGATCTCGCTATCTGAACCGCCGGCAGTTTTGTACCCCTTTCTAAGTCGGACAATTACATCGTACATTTCAGTTTGCTTAATCATTTTTTCGTCCATATATGATATAACTGACTTAGCAGCAATACTGGTCAACTCATCATGTAACTTAGCCATATTGAAAAGTGTTCAGCATAACATAACACCACAGATGGCGAAAGTACGACCTAGGTTGAAAGCCGACTCAACCACACCCAAATCCAGAATCACGGTACTCAGTATGACTATTACGCAGTACAGTATTATAGTCATTTGTGTTTTTATTTTCATTGATGAGGGCGCACGATACGGTCTACCGTCGCTCATTATAGGCATAGAGAATGGTACAGTATGTATGTAGTGATGCTTTTACACATCCTCATAAGGTGGATGCAAATGCGGATAAACTTTATTGCAATTTCCAATATACTGAAATTGAAGTTGCACATATAAAATTGGTTACCGTACTTTAAGGAAGAAAAAAAAATAGGCCTAAATAAAAATTGCACTAGAGAGTAAAAATGGAGAGAAAAGGACAACATTCAAAAGGGAAGCAACAAAAAATAAAATGCAACACAAGGACCGAAATCTAGCACAAAAAAAAAATTAATAAAAAAATAACATAACAAAACAAAACAAAAACAAAAACAAAAAAACAAAACAAAACAAAACAAGAAAAAAAAACCCTAAAAAAACTATAACAAAAACATCGAAGCACAAAAAGGATTCATAGATTCTGAAACAAAACTAGGACTACGTTTGAAAAACAAAAACAAAAAAAGCAAATTCACAAGAGGAGAAAGGAACATCAAAAAGATATGGTATATATAGCAAATAAGACTGCACAAAAGAGAATTTAATTCAAAATATCAAAAGTTTGAACAACATTATTCAAACGCCATCTCCGACAGTTGGCAACAGTGAGTTACTTCAGGAAGACCAAGAATACACCTTTCCATCTGGAGTGCCAATGAAACTTAACAACTGACCAATAAAAAAACAGGACCATGCGCGCGTGTCTGACAAGCACACGTGTTGTCCCACAAATCATAGAGAAAATAGATGCACAAACGCATGTGTGTGCTATTGTTTTACGCTTTCGTTTTGTGACACCTTAGCAACAGTATCCAAGGGGCGGAGCTTAGCCGAAAGTCCATTAAGTACCGTCTACAGGGAAACAGCTATTAATAATAGTAAATTCAAGCATTGTAAAAGTACTTATTTATTTTATTTGTATTTTAAAAATAATATCTAGGGTCGGCATATTTCTAGTTCTATCGGGTAAGGTGACGATTAGGCTTTACACCAACATAACAAATAGCAAGTTAACAAAAGGCATCTTCCTACTCTTCAAAATACAGTAATTATTATATTTTATGTTTTCAGTGAAATAGAATATCAGCAATGTTGCCGATGAATCGAATCCGATAAGTAATTTTGAATGATTTCAGTGTATCAGGGGTAATCATGAATAATAACATGTAGTCCTACCTCGGTTGAGGCTGAAAAAGTTTTTTTTAATGATTTTTTTGTATGTAAACTTGCTAGCCACGGTAGGTCTTATCAACGCGACAGAAATTTAAAAAAATATTTTATTGCATGCAATCGTACTTTAATATTGAAATGTTCATATTATGTGACGTTATATTTTAGCATGCCTACCTTGTAGAAGCCCGGCCTTCGTTTGATGCCCTTTTTCACGTGGTCCCGAAACACTCGCTGAGCTATTATGTCCTTAGTGAGCAGGAGGTACTCCATAGGACTGTCGTCTTCCTCGTAGTCCGATTCAGAGTCCCACTCATGATTCCAAGCCTACCGGGAATACCGACATGAATAATACAATAGTAGCAAATAAAAATGTAATAATAGACTTTTCCACTAAGCCCCGCCCCTTGGATATTGTTGCTAAGGTCCCACAAGCAACATCATTTTGTAAAAGAAAACATTGCTGGCTGTGCGGTCGCGGGCACAAAGTAGTTTTTAGGTATTCCGGACAATATCTGCCTTACGGTTCTGCCAAATCATAAAAATGTATTAGAAAGTGTCTTAAAAAGGGGTCTAAATTACTATTTGCAAGTATACATTCATATAATTAAAATAATGATGATGATAATGATAACGATAACATACCTAGATATACATTGCCACAAAACATTGGCTATTTTACTTAGTATTAATTTCAATTAAAAATCATATTCCTTATTTCCATAGTTACCAACCTGGGAGATTTGAAATGCGTGAGTGACTATACCAGTTGGCTGGAGGGGGAGGGGGTCCAAGTGGCAGGGGAACCATCCCTCCACCCACCTCGCCGCTCCGACGATCTGAGCATTTTAAGCTGTTTTAAAACGATTTTAGGGGGTGTTTGTTGATAATACAGGTACATAAGCAAAAATATTATTAATAAAGCCAATGTGAGTTTCAATGTAGGCCTATGTTTAATTTGAGCACCCGAACTATGTAGACCTACACAGACATTTCATTACTGATTTTAGTAACTCGTTAGCGAAATAAGTAGGGCCTTCAAGGAAATACTGTACTCTCTCATGTCTCAAGTTTCTGCATCACCGTTTTTATAGTTTTAATACAACCAATTTCTTCTAATTTTAAATACATTTTCCCCTGAATTTGTGATAAATCGTTATCACGCATAGACTTGTTAAATGCGTGACAAATTTAGAATCACGCATGGTGTTTCTGCAAAATGCGTGTTTCATCCAAAATCACTTTGAAATGCGGGACCGTCCCGCACGATGCGAGATGGTTGGTAACTATGTTATCTCTACTATAACTATATCGTCAGCCTAATTGTTTTTACCAGAAAGACATCAATTGTGTAGTGGTAAGCTAGCAATACTACTTTAGAAGAAGACCCTGATCTTAAATTTTAACTAAAATG